TTTTTTCAATGGCCTCCATTTCTTATATGTGATATGCTTGAAATTATCACTCTCCAATTTTTCTTTTTCTTGTGTTAAATGCACTATTTCTAACATTTTTTCTCTCTGTGCCTGTTCTTGATTGAAATTTTTTCGTACCGCTCCCGTATTTCCAACACTCTCAGATTGATTCGGCAGCGACGTGGGTTTTTGATCAGTTGAAATTTTCTTTGTCATTGTCTTGTTTTGTTGATTTGGCAACTTTTTTTTTACTGTTGGTTTCTGTAGAACTTGTTCATAAGTACGAGTATTCACATTATCTGTTGGTTTTGTTGGTGCTGAGTTTTTGCTTCCAATTCCATTTTAATCAGTTTTTCTTCTAGGAGAATATTGTTGCTTTTCAATAATTTGGTGTTCTCTAAAAGTGCGTATTCACCAAAAAAGCGAGCACGAGCGAACAAGAGTGAACGATCATTCTGCATCAATAATCGTCTGGTGAGTACGGGCTAGCGAGCGAGCAAACATATGCTTGTTCGCGTTCAGAAAAGATAGAGAAGAAGGCATTTAGTGTGAACGGGAATTCCGTTCACTCTTGTTCGGTCTTGTTCGCTCGTGCTCGTTTTTTTGGTGAATACGGACCTTAATGAAAGATTATATTTTTCATCTTATTCCTTTAAAAGTGATTTTAACTTACGGACTTCAATTTGAAGCTCACTTTCCTTGCTTCCATTTACATCTTTATCACATTGTTGGCAGATGATTCTGGTATCACATATTTTTTTACACTCCAATTTCATTTTTCCAGCACAGGATAAATGAAATATGTTTCCGCATATAATGCGGATTGGCAACATTTAAATTGCTTTTCTTTAAAGTTTTCATCACTTATTTCACAGAGCTCATTTATCGCGTGACTACCAGTCTGCCCCATCATATGACACTAAATCACCTTCTTGTTCAAAAAATTTCGAAAACTGCTGCTCTTTCTTCCCATACACATTGCTAGTTCCAACTGCCAACAAGTTCTTTTCATTTAGTCTAGAACCAAGCAATTGTTAACCCAAGATCCCTAACAAAGTCGTTAAGCTCAATCTGAGTAAATAGTTTAGGCTCTATATTTGTTGTAGCACATTGGAACTTTTCATCATCTTGCTCATCTATATCTGACAGTACATCAGAAAACATCAGTTTGAACAGAATTCAAATCATCCGGAGGTTCTGGGACCGACAAATCTACATCGTGCCTTACTGGTCGGATGGCGGAAATTAGGTTAGGGTAGCTTATTACCTTCTTGTTTTTCGAGTTATGGCCAGTAATATAAATACTACAAAAGTAGCAATCATCAGTGTGGTTTCTAGGTTTCCTCCGTACCATAGGAACAGCGTACTGTTAAAGGCTTTTTTCTCCTTTTTTGACCTTTTTTTAAGATCTTCAACCCAAGATTTATCCTGATTACCAAGTTTAATTCCAAAATATGAGAAATAAACCTTTTTCACAAACTCACCGTAAATATAACAAAAACTGTCCGAGATTAGACATTTTGATGAGCACATGTACTGAAAACCAGAAAGTAAAATTAGGTTTACAGTAAACAAAACATCAGCTGTGAACAGAACAATATAATTCCCGTTTTTTTGGACAGTAAATGTGTTTCAGCAGTGCTGCCCACTCTTCTACATCCAGCACAAATTATTTTACAATTTTATTTGTAGTATATAAAAGCTGTTAAATTCTGTAATAAATAAAAAAATTCAATAAATTGATGTGCAAATGTGGAAAAATGGTAGGTGATACGGCTTAATAAGTATCATATTTGGATTTAGCACCCTAAAAAACCGAATAATAAGGTGATTTAAGTAAAACAGTTTTTTCATCGTTGGCCTGTGTTATTTTTATGCAATATCAAATTTAACATATTTTTTGAACTTTCACGTACCTTTCAAATATACATAAAAAAATTTCATGAAAATGGGTTGAGCCGTTTTGGAGGAGTGCGATAACAATCATTGTGACACAAGATTTCCATTAGAATATCAATGAAAATACTGTTTGGGTTGAAACTGTGATTATTACACAACGGATAGATTATATACCTATATAATATCGGGGCAATTTGAAATGGTTTTCCATTCAATAATCATATGGATAATGTCCAATGGATTTCCAAAACTCAGGTCAATGGATATGTATTAAAAGTCACAGATTAACTCGTTTGAGAATGAACGGATATAAGGTTACAAAAATTGCAACAGACCTTGCGAGTGTCTTTTAATGACACACACCGGACTTGACTTTGGCACCTGTACATGATACATACAACATGAAACCAGATCCAAAAAACAAAGCATTTATTCATGGGTGAACACCAGACAGCAGTTTCCACTGCAAAGTATACACGGATTAACGGAAACATCGAATTCATCTTTGACTGAATACATATTGCCGTGAAACCGTGAAAGTCAGTTCGTATTGATAATACGTATCAAATATGAAGGAATGAAGAAGTACTTTGAGCACATAGCGAAATAATAATAATGATAGAGGAAAGTACGTTAATAACACATGGCAGCCGTCTGAATTGTCCTCTTCTTCCAAATTCCCCACAATAACTTCAAAGGCTTCTTGAGTTTTTGCTCTTTTTTGCTTTTCATGACACCCATGTGTTATGTAAGCTTCTAGGTATACAATCGCACCTTTAACTGCAAATTGTAATGGGCCTTTCGCACCGATTATTTTATTGAATACATTTTTATTATTCTTTTGAAAATAATCTAGGTTGTCTATAATTTGCTTGCCTTTTCCGGTCCAGTACCTCACATTCGTAATCAATATTTCGAGGTGTCTTCGTTGATAAGCCCTTTAAATTCACAGTATCTACTGAGTAAGTCCAATCCCTTCAGTTTTTTTCTCAGACGATCCTTTCATAAAGGTGCCGAGCACACTCATCAGGATTTTCGTAGCGTTTATGAGGCGTATTCGGGTTTGCAGTTTGAACGATTACAGGACGGTTCAAATTAGTTAGTCAGCTGATTATTGAGACTGTGCGACTACATTTGATAGTTCGTAAACCGTTTAAATAGTGAACCCGAATGCGGTTATAACTAATAATTGAAAAGCAAATGTACTACGTATTGTAATGAATCTGAAGCCGGCCCTGACCGACGCATGACGCATGACGGAATACCGTGAAAGAGCGGGAAGGATGCGGATGAGTCCCGAAATCCGCAGAGGGATCCGGAACGTTCGTTGACAATATAAAAACGTCGCTCTCCGTCCCGAAGAGTAGTCTGTACCAAGAAAGCGAATCGAGTGGTTAACAAACGGTGAAGATAAATTAAGCGTTAGTTACTGAGTGGTGTAAATAAATTAGTTGTGATAGTGAAGTATTGTTAAAATAAATTTGTTTAAGACAGTTAATTCTTTAANATTGAGGTTAAAATGAAGTTTGCAAAAAAGTATCAAACAGGAACCTCATATTTGTATGTCAAAATTAAAATTGGTTAAAAAACATATAACATTATATACTATTTCTATGATAAAATGAGATGATTGCACAAATAATAGGTAAGTAACTGAGTATTAGAAAATTTATTCAACAGATTGTCGAACATGATTGACAAGACACATGAAATTTGACAGAGAACTAACTATAAAATGATACATAACAGAGAGTGAAGGTGAAGTGTTTCCTTCACGGAATTCTTAAATGTTATCAAATTTATTATCTTTATGTAAACAAAGGAGATAAGTATAAATCAGGCTTAGACTTTCAATGTCTGTCCTGGAATTATTAGTATTTGAATTTTCAAATACGTGACACATTTCTAAGAAGTTCCTTTTGTGACTGTTATTTTCTGAATCTAAAATTTTAACATTATTAAAAAAAAAGTCATGATCTAAGTCAATGGTGTGTTAAGAAAGGGTGCAATACAATTTATTGCATCTTATGTCACTCTTGTGTGAAGTATTTAATTTTCTACTCGTTTTAATGTAAATTTTTTTACAACTGAAAAAAAGGATGGAATAAACCACATTGGATAATTTAATGATATCTTCTTTGTCTTTCAAAATAAAATTCAAACTTTTTTTCCAATTTGAAACACAAAGAAGATATCATTAACTCATCCAATGTTGTTCATTCCATCCCATTTTACATGAATACAATGATCTGAATTATATCCAATTTGTCGTTTCATTGATGAACACATTTTGTTGAAATTTCTAACAATCATATCTCGAGACCTCCTTAATCCAGTGTTGTAGTCACTTATTAACATTTTCATTATTGTTTGCATTTCTACGTAACTTTGACATAAACCATTTGAAAACGTTACGAATCCAGTGGGGTAGTCAGTTTTATTTCCAGTTTGTGAAAGTTACTTCTTCGCATCATCTACAGATATATGTATAGAGTTACTTATTTTGACACTGATTGCTTCCTTTCTTTCTTTGGAAGATTCCCACTTTTTTTGTACCACATTACTTAGATTAGTATAGATAGAAAAAATGTAATGATGAAACGTTCAGTGTTGAAAATTCAACAAATTGAAGAAAATCTGACATGAATTTTCCTTCAAATATTTTAATCTTTACGATACACTTAAAGTTATAGAGTTCATTCAAATACACTTGGTGCAAAAAATAATTACACATGCGACATCAAAAAAACTGTATGAAACATTAACTTTTAGGTACCATTCTACAAGTGAAAGAGAGAGCTGTTGTTCAAATGATAACTTGCACTAGGTCCATCAAACAGATATGTTTTCACAAACTTGTGTCGTCGGCAATTTTTTTGANAATGGAAGAAATGCATAACCTTTATGATATCTGTCTCTCACCAATAATTTCTCCTATCATGAAAATCACACAAAGAATGCTTGCTACTATCAGCTTTCTTCTAGCTTTCCGATCGATATCTGGCATATCCGTCTGGTGACAATGTTTGTTTACTGAAAATAAGGAGATAAAATATGTTAAAACAATATCAAATACATTTTCTACGTAAATTATGAGTCGAGGATAAGAAGAGCACAAATTGGAAAATCTGAAACCGTAAGAAATACAGAGTCGGTTGAATTAGGAAAAGGTTGGCCATTTCAGAGCTTATTTAGGTGAGACTTGAAATGAAATAACTATTCCACAAATAATACATTGGTAAATTTGTCGCCCAAAAGGCTAACTTATACCAGGTGACACTTCATAAAAAAATAAAATTGAAGATGGTTTCTCAGAGACGAAACATGGGATCGAAGATATGTTAACGTCATTTGTACAGCTTGAACATTTACAATGAAACATTCATCAGTCCTTTTGTTTTTTATTATCTCCCTTAATAACTTCAGGAAAAATAAATCGAAATTGTCAAATTTCGGTTCATTTGGAACATCTTCGGAACTAATCGGAATTTCTCAAATCAAAAACTTTTTTTTCAATTCAACCGTTGTTATATCACTTACGGAGTTTTCTATGATGGCCCTCCTTATCTTGGACACTGGACCAGAGAGGTAGATACATAATGCCAAAGTTCTGGTCAAAATACCAAACCCTTGCCTTTCATGTGGGACCTACGATTTTTTAGATACATGTGGCAGATACCCGGAAGGAAAAACAATCATTTTTAGGACAAAACTTGTCCCTCTTTTTTTCAAGAAGGAAAGACAAGCATTACAGGAAAATCCTCAAGGCGCTCTAAGAGCAGTGCCTGTGCGAAAGTAGCGATTCGCATTGAATTTAAATCGCTGGAGATCAAATCCATTTGAAAAAACGTTCTCAGGAAGTTTATTCCACATAAACGCAGTTCTCCAAATGGGTGACTTCTTGAATAGTGAAGTTCAAAGTGTACTGAGTTGAACCTCAAAACGATGAGCAGCGACAGTCCGTCACGTATTTCTGATATATACCGCTTTTGGTGGAATTGAATGTGACAAGTCACTTGAAGACTTTCTGTGAAAGAATCTATAGAAGGGAGACAAATCTACAATTTTTCTGCGATGTTCCAGATTATGAAGGTTGTAAGTGATGTTCGCGTCTTCAACCAGGCTGATGGCTCTTTCCTTCCAGCAGCTTAGTATGCTTAGGGGCAGAGGGAACAATACTCCAAAAATGATCTGATCTGAGCTTTATAGAGCATCAAAATTTGCTGAGGTGTGTACAGTTTTCCGGTTCAGAACAGTGTTCCAAGCGTTTGAGAAGCAGATTTTGCAATTTCAGCAGCATGATTGTGCGCAGACATATTGGTGTCCATTTTAACCCCTAAGAAACTTATCGAAGCAGAAAGCAGAATTGTTTGTCCTGATATTATTACATCCGATTAGGAGACATTTATCTTTCTGGAGAGAACCTATGCCTGGGTTTTTGTGGCATTGAATTGAACCGGGTTACTTTCTCCACAATTCGAAATCACTTCCAGATCTTCTTTAAGATATGCAACCTCCAGCTGCCAATGAAGATGTGCGTCCGCAGCCAATATATTGGCATCCAAATGACGAGACGAGTGTGATGTCGGCAGCAAAGCAATATATTGGATTCTTGGTTTTTCCAATAAGTCGTTGATATACAATAAAAAGAGGGTTGGAGACAATATGAATTCCAGGGGAACACCAGCGTTGATGGTAAAAGTGTTCAAGAGACATCTATCGACGGCCATTTGCAGGGAACGTTCTTTCAGGAAGCTGGAGAGCCATACATAAAAATGATCCGACAAGCCATAATATCGATGTTTTGCCAGCAAACCCGCATGTCACAAACATTCAAAGGCCTTAGACATATCGAGCACAACAGCTCTTGACTCTCCATGTTTCGCGATTGCGTTATTTCAAATATGGGAAACATACGATAGGAGGTGGCATGTTGATCTTTGTTTCCGAAAGTCATATTGATGATCGCTAAAGATGTTAAAGCCTTCCAAATATTCAAGGATATGGTAGTTCACGGCTTTCTCCATTATTTTATGATATCACTGATAGCAAAGCGACTGGTTTATAGTCATTTGGAAGATTTTTCTTGCCCTTTTCGGAAATTGGCTGAACGAGAGCAATCTTCCAAGAAGAGCAAAACCGCTTCCTTGTGAGACAGGTTGAAAAGTCTGCAAAATACTGGTACGAGTTGATTTGCGTACTTTTGAATTACAATGATGGGCATTTCATGACATGTTTTAGCAGTATGTTAGTGTTTTCTATTTATAATGAGTATTCTTTACTTTTAACTATCAGAAAAAAAACTAGGAGTATCTATTCTCGACTCATCGCATCCAAAACGCCATCTTTGTTATAAAGTTGTTTCAAAAGTATTGTTCGTTTCAATGTTATGTGTTTTGGTAGCTTCATATCTGAAGATTTGAGGACCCTGGTGGGGACTGACCCATCACAAACGGTGCGTGGGATAACAGAAGACCCGGGCATTAGCTCCCATGCGGTCTTTGGTGGTTCAAATAGTATTGGAAAGGTTAACCAGTTCTAAAAGTAGATGCCACACTATTTGCAAGATCGACAGACCTGTTCGAAGTCTGTTCTTCTTTGCTTTTGGGCAACCAAAATGATCCTTATTGCATCGAATCTTCTCGTGTGGTAATAGGTGGATCTTCTAAGACAACATGAAACTTACAGAACAGTGCCACTCAGGCACTTTTCAAAGGCGAAAACCCACCAAAAAAAAACATGATTACTTTATGGTGGTCAGCGTCTAGTGTGATTTACTAAAACTTTCTGCAATCGAGCCAAACCATCATAGCAGAGTCCTATTGTGAGGAAATCGAACAAAATGTACCGAAAATTGAGTCAGGAACAAACGGCACTGGTCAACAGAAGAGGACTCATGCAGCTCCACAACAACGCCTGTTTCACAATTCACCGTCCGAAAATTGAAGTTCTGCCTCACTCACCTTACTTCCCAAACCGACTACCATATTTTCAAGCACTTCGATAGCTTTCTCACAAGAAGAACTTTTGCCAATCAGTAACAGGCAAATACGTTTTTCGTCAACTCCATCGAATCCCAAGCACAAAATTTTCATGCTAACGGAATTTGTGTTACGTTGGCATATATGCACTGATTGAAATGGCACTCATTTCGATTGAATTGAATGGGTTTTTACTGAGATATTACAGTTGGAATTACTTTCATGAAAATGGACAAAACTTTTAAAACAACATACATTCTAAGGACGATGTCTTTTGTTGATAACAGTGTTAGTCCGTTAGTATGTTCTACAAAATAGACCCTGATATATGTAAAAATGTCTTGATTTCAGACAAGCCAGTGCGTATATTTTTTCATATTGAGTATACTTTCATTTTCAAAATATCTGCTTTTATAAAATGACGTGGGTCTTGTAGATCAGACTGTGCTACTTGGGGTTAAGAGTCTTTGGAGATAACCTCTTTTAACGAGTCATTGTCTCCTTCCCGAGATTAGCAGTTATTTTTTGAAATACGCGTTTAACTAGTGAGTGGAACTGGCCCCATGAAAATCTATATCAAAAATCGATGATACAGTTTACTGTGAGATTTTCACTATGAAAGGAGTACAACTCCGCGACACTAGTTTCGTTATACAATAACTTCCACGAGCAGGACTGTTTTTTGACTCTCAGTGAACTGTATTAGTAGATTTTGATATGGGTTTAAGTTTTTTCAGTGATGCAAAGTTATTTTTATCTCGTAACGTCTTCCCAACGACTACACATTGTTGAAGTAAAACATTGTGTGAATTTATCAACTAGATAAATGAATTATCAACAAACTGTAAAGCAAATTCCGTAATGAAGATTCACTTCTAAGTATAAAATCAACTCAAAACTTGCTTAGCCAATATGAACAAAGAACTTCGCGGTGGTCTATTTCATAGATAAATGTCAATATCGACCGTGCAATGATAAATCGGTTTGTGTCTTTTCTGCAGCTGTTACCGTAAGTTATAGAACTCAAAAATGAAGCATTCATGATGCAATATCGGACAGCGCCATTTCGATCCGCCATAGCACGATAGCATTGTTGCATACATACATATCTTATCGATAAACGAAATCCGGAAACTGATTTCAGTAATGAAAACTTTCATCTCTTCATGTAGCAACTTTTTCCATTAATTAGGTTTATTTCAATTCATACAATTCGATTTTACAAATACATCACCAATCATGATTCCATACAAATACATCTCCGGTGTATTTTTACGAGAGAAAGAAAGAATTCAAAAAACAACGAAAAAAAATTGTGGACGAAAGGAGACGAGCGATCAGTCACTTNAAGTGTCTGTGAAAACTTCGGTGTCGTTTTGAAGGTACCACCATTGACAGTTATGCAACAGCTAATAATTGATTACGCTAGACTCATGTATAATATGAGCAGAATTTTCCATGTAAGAGTATTTGTTAGTACATAATCATCTGTCATAATGTTCTGCAAGATAATATCCAGGCATTTCATAGATACTGGTTTCTTATTCGTGGGCTGGGACACATGTGGTTGAGTGTAATTTCAGTGGGAAATTGACTGGATGGTTGAATTTTCGGAGGAAGAAAATTGTATCCTTTTTGTTTACATCAGTTATCCTGAAATTATCACTCATCCATGCCTGATTTTTTTCAGTTTTAATCCATTATTTAGTTAACTCAAAGAAATAAGTTTTATTGTAACAACGATAAAAATAAAAACAACAATAAAAATTAAAAATTATTTAGTCCGACTTCGTTTTAGTTTTTTCCTGTAAATAACAAGGCGGTGTCATCTGCATCGCAGACAACTCTGGTGTAGAGTTTTTTTTATAGCTACTATAACATGTATCATGCCATAATATTCACTAGATACAAGGATAACAATTTCGGTTTCTGAATATGAGCCCATATTTATATTGTTGGAAAAAGGTTCATATGGCATATGGCAAATTTTCTTTGTCAAATTGATATTACGAACAGTATTGGACACAATGGTATAATGTTTCCACTGTGGAA